CTTTTTTTTTTTATAAAACACATTATCTATACTCTTTCTTTGAAGCATTCTCTTCAGCTATGTTTAATCCGCTTTAATCAAACTCCAGTCCGTTTATCTAGAAAATCTGGTTCATTTGGTGAAAGGTGAATGTTCAGTTGAACTCAAAAGAGTGAACTCTGGTCCACATAAAAACCTCAGTTTTGGTTCGGATGAAGTGAACTCTGGCGTGGTTCGAATGTATGTATGTGAACGTCAAGTGGATCAGAGGTCCAACAGCAGGAAGCGGATTATTCTGATGACTAATATTTTTTGAAGGGCAATCTTGTTTAGAGACTTCATACTGCACTTTCTTATGTGTTCTTATGTGTTGTTTTTATTTCCTTTTTGTTTATTTTGTTTTATTTTGGATATTTAAAATGTTTTCCAGTTCAAGTGTTCTGTACAAAATTACAATTTTATTAGTCTTTGAGAGGGAAAACTTTAATAATTGCGTCATTATCATTATATTACTTGAAAATGATCTCAAAATTATTATCGTTTATCGCAATAATTTCTGGGACAATTTTTTTATTCACCCAAATGTTGACATTTGTGACAGCCTGGCTCGGTTTGTTTGATTCGGTGCAGCGTGAAATCGAACCACAGCAACTGAAAAAGTAACAAAAGTTGCAATTTGAGTTCCCATTTGAACCAGTTGAATCTGCTGGGTTATTCTGTGTGAAAACACCCTAAGTGGTTCTGAAGGTTGTGACTTTTGCACCTTTATTGTAACATTTTTCCACACAGATGAGTAAAATCCTCCCGCATTGAAACAAATTGACTCCATCAACTGTCCTGTTTATAAATACTGACATTACATTTTGTGAATTTTGCTTCATGTTGGCTGGATTCAGCTGTTTGTTCTGGCCCGACCAGAACCAGGCAGGACGGATGGATGGCGTTCTGCTCCCCAGTGCGTCTTCCTAAAAAGGCCCTGTGGGATCTCTGCTGTCCTTTGTTTACATGGCCAACCAAACTCTGCAAGCTGTCATCGTCTTTTTATCTCCCATAAGTTGAACGGCGCTGTGCTGTAAACCCGACGTCTCTGGGTTCATGTCAGGATGCAGCTGAGGAAGGAATGCCTCTTAATGTTTTATTATTTATTTAGGACATGAGATCAGGGGTGCATCGACTCTCTGGGCTGCTGGGGGTCAGGAAGCAAGTTGATTTTATTAGAGAGAGGAAAAATAAATACACTTATTCTCAGGGACGGCTCAGCGTGAAGGCTGAGAGTTTTTCCCCTGGAGGCCGTTTTGGAGTCGCTCCCATTTTCCCCTCGTCCATTCAGGCCTGTTGGAGGTTTCCGGCTGGAGCGTCACTCCTGCAGGTTATTTACTGCGCTTCGTAAACATGGAGCAGGCAGAACAACAGCCTCACACTCACAGGAACAACAAAGTGTTAATGTTTGGAGCAGATGTAATTTTTATCTTTATTGATTCCCAAGGAAGCAAATTTTATAACACAGTCCTTTAGAAAGAAGAAAAGTAGATCAGTTCACTATGATAAACACTCAAAATAAGACAAAACTAACTTACAAGTAACTTTTCAGCAAACTATATGGGCTTGTTTTAAGAAAATAACTCTGTAATATTAATGAAAAAGTCCAGTTCCACTGGCAGGTTAATTAGCCCTGCGCCGTTACCTAGCAACGCCAGCCAAGCCCAGCCCGTTGCCTAGCAACCTAGGTCTAGTTCCACTGGCAGATTATTTCCCTAATAACATAGAAACAGATGTCTTTTTATAGGATTAATAATCTGCCAGTGGAACAAATACATTTTAATAATATAAAGGAATTATTGACTGAAAACAAGTTTGTATATCTTCTTGCTAAACAAATATTTTTAAGTTAGTTTGTCTCATTTGAAGTGAACTAAGGTATGTTCACTAGAAACTCAACCAGAATTACTTGGTAATATTTTGTGTTTTTGCAGTGCAGTGATCTTTTATAATTAGACGGTCCCAAAAAACTTGACAATGGTTTTCATTTTGATTTCTGCATTTTCTCAAATAATACGAGGATTTCCATGACAGTGGCATTTCTCAGCCGGTGTGATAAGGAATCATAAACATCCAAATTCTTTCCATGCCACTGATTTATTACATGGCCACTAATATTTCCATATTATTGCTCGTTCCTCTTCTGTTATTAAGTTGCCCTCTCTTTCCCATCTTGCTTTAATATGAATTATTTTTTAGTTCTAGCTGGTTACTTTGTCCGTTTTTAGTTCGGCTCTCCTGAAGAAAACCCAGTTGGTGTTTTTGTATCCATGCGTGACTCTGAGTGTCTGCACCTCGACTGGCCCGTTTCTTGGCGTTGTGAAAGAGAGCGACTCCTAAATCAGGCAAACACAAGCGGAGGCCGACGTGTTCCTGAGCGACTGCCGTGGTGTTGCTGCTCCACTGCATGTTTACTGCAACGTTCCTGTTTTTACTGCAGAGACACATTTAAACATGGAGGAGCAGATTCACACAGAACAAGACTTCAGGGCTGCTAACTGTCAGATTACATTGGAAGATCTGCTCTTAAAATAATCTGCATGTAAAGGAAATGCATTCAGGGGAAAAACCTCTCAAACTTTTCATGGACTACCAATGTTTGCCCTGAGAATCGAGTTAAATTTACTCAACTACATTTAATTGAATAATGTTTTTGAAAAAATGTATTTAGGAGTATTTCTACTACGCTGAGTAACTTTATTATGAAGTATTTCTACTCTGACTTGAGTAAAACTTCTGGATTTTCTACCCACTGAATGACAAACAAACCAAAAACTCACCAGACTCAGACACTCACCTGCAGTTTTTGTTAAAGTTTTATAAGTTTTTTATTTAAATAAACTGAATTGAACAAATTGTTTTTTATCAGATTTTTTGTTGTTGTATGAATTATTTTCATTTCGCTTCTTAAAATACCAAAATTTCCACTTAACTTTAGGTTTTGGTCCATCTGATTAGGTCATTTTAAATATTAAATGACTGATAATTTGATGAGTTACTCGGTACTTGAGTAAAAATATGTTTAAGTAGTGCTACTCTTACTTGAGTAATATTTTCGTTCTCCAGTTTCGGGAGGAAATGATACAGAATCCATTTTTATTAAATTTAGAGTCAAAGATGGATTTTTCTCCAGCTGTAAATTATGAGGCTCTTTTAAAAACGCAGTGAGATATAAATTGGATGTGGTCGTTTTCTTTTATTATTTATTTTACCTCCTCTGTTTGAAGCTTTTCTCTGTTTCTCTTGCAGGGCTCTCCAGCAGAGGGCAGCACAAGCTCAACTCGCAGTAAATCCGCCTGATTTCTCTAAAAACACCATTCCTGATTAGAGCCTGTACAGATTTCTGTTTGTAACTGTGATGATGTGATGCTTACTCATTGAAATGTGGCCTTCTTGTTGTCTTCTGTCTGATTGTTGAGGATCAGGTCCCAGAGCAGTGAGCGCCGTCAGGATTACTCCTTTAACAACCATGAAAGGTTCTCCTGATCTGATTCCCTCTGCAGGTGATGTTTCCCTTTACTTTCTCCAAACTCTAGCACTGTAAACATTTTTATTCAATTCAAAAAGTGAAGCTATTGTGTCAGAAATGTAGAAAAATATTGAATATTTTATTGAAATGTGAGGATCTTGTTTTAAAAGGAAGGAGAAGGTTTGTATTGTCTTTCATGCTTTCCAATGTAGACATGTAGAGTTTAGCAAACTGCGTGGTTTTATTTAGAGCTGAGACGATTAATCAGATGAATCAGCTGTTGAAATAACTAATTTAGTTTTAGATTAATCTTTAACTGGAGTATACAGACTCTAATCGAGGCCATTTCCTGAAAGAACAGCACACAGCGCAGTAGTCCAGCCAAACTCAGCAATGATAATATTAGAAATTTTAATTGCCGTATCATTGATTTAAAGTCCAGCAGGACGAGCTTTTCTCACATTGATTTTAGAAGTTTGTTTTAGCTGCATCCTTTGCTACCAGTGATCGAGTTTTCACTAAAGTAATGCTACTTTACTGCATTTTAGACACAAAAATGTTTGTTTTCTTATTGATAAAAGACATTTAATCAGTTGGGTTTTTATCTATTAATGTATTTAAGTGGCTAAATGAAAACATTTTTTGAGTACTCTATCCACCTCTGTGTAACACTAAGATAAATAGCAGAGATGTTTAATGTAATACTTGCTGCCTAATTAGCACAGTTAGCTTAGCTAATGTAGCTTTCATCTAAAGCTAAGACAGAAATGCAGCCTACTTTCTCCGCTAACCCATATTAGCATTTTTAGCTAAATTTAACAGGAATCTTTATTGAGTCTGACTCACTACAGCAGTTCAAACTGGGGTCAAACTGAGGTCAAACTGAGGTCAAACTGAGGTCATGTTTCATACAAGCTGTGATTTTATGATCTAGTGATAATAAAGGAACTATCGCTCTCTATGTTACTCATACAGTGACATC